CGAACTAAGCAGACATACACTAACAGCATCCCACACATTTTCTAACAGCTGGTTTCTCTTTGAAACTGCATACCAACTAATTCCCTCACAGGACATTGAACCATGATTAGGGCATTGACTATATCATGTCCCTCTGTGCATGTCAACGCTGGTGACATGATCAGTGCTTTGCTTTGCGTTGTTAGTGGTAGACACAACATGTTCACCCTCCTCCGTTGCAGTCATCCTCAATGGTTCTCTCGATGTGGCAACAAGTCACATGAGCTTCACAGATTAGGTGCACGTACGGTCCTTGCTGTGACATGAATGAAACAACCTCGAGCTCGTATCAAACGGTTACGACCATCCTCCTGCACTGGCCTACCAATCAGAAAATGCTACCCTTAACATTAGTAGTATACAAACATTCCCCCTTAGAAAAAAATAGGAGAACCTTGAGAAGGGAGAATTTCCTTCTGGTGTCACCCATCCTCCCATGGAATGATGACACAATGGCATTTTTACTGACATTAACCCTGTTTTGCCTTACGCATTGCCTCAGTGACAGAAATCATCACCGCCCTCCTTTAGCAGGCCAACGACAAATCCATGGCAAACAGAATTCACAATCAACCCAGGTCAGCATTTCTCATTGATTGCTGCTTTCAGTGAAGGAGTAGAGCATGCCTTGCACTAGTCTGTAAGCTCTATGGAGCCTCTGCACTACTTGGAACTCGTCACACCTGATCCAGCACAAAAGCTAAATTAGGACATGAGGTTTAGTTCTCTGATTGCCTAACAGTAATGGGGAGACGAACGTGAAGACGAACGTAAGCGACCTTGGTAACGAGTTGAGCAGATTGACTTTGCCATCAGAACAGCAATTCATTGACAGGCCGCCGTGCTCACTTGTCTATCACCCGAATGAGTTCAGCAGCTCGCTGATCTTTACCACGATCACTCTCGACCCAGGAAGGCAGTAAGGAATGAGGATGGAAGGTCATCAATGTGATGACATCTTGTTTGTCCCCAGTTATGTGGTCTGTTTGTTGGTGAGCTATGCGAGCAAGTCCCCCTGTCGGTTGAGATTTTGAGGTCTGTAACCATACCTGCAGCACAGAGCAATTATTGCCAATTGTGTTTGCCAGCGACTCTCCTTCAGTTGAGATTTTGAGATCAACCCTTGCGAAGATGTATTCGAAGATTTTGTTGCACAAATGCTGCAGTAAGTCCATGGACTGTTTCAAGGATCATTATCGTGAGCGCTGCAGGCAAGAAGTTGAAGCAGCAGAGGAACGCACAGATATGCTCATAGGCTATCAGATTGGAGGTCACACCCTTGCCCATGTGCTCTCCACATCCACTCCCAGTACTTGTTTAGCATGTGATCATCCGGTCGCACATCTTTCCACCTCCCTTCACAGAACATGGCATGAGCATCTGAAGCATACCTGCAAACCCCAGAAATGAATATCATCGATCAGTGACTATTCAGATACATCCTCTCTCTCTCTCTCTCTCTCTCTCTCTCTCTCTCTGTGTGTGTGTGTGTGTGTGTGTGTGTGTGTGTGTGTGTGTGTGTGTGTGTGTGTGTGTGTCCTCCCCCCTCTCCCTCTCCTCCCCTCCTCCCCTCCTTCCCCACTCTATCTCTCCACCCTCGTTTTGTTTCTGTCAACCTGCCTCCTTCTGTCTCCATCTCCGTCTGTTGCTCAATCTCTTTGCCCGTACCTCTGTCTGAATCTTGTTTCTATCTCGTTCTGTCTCTGTTCAAGAGTCCAGTTGACTCTGAGTTATGATAGCAGTGTTCACCCCCTTACAACGAATAATCTTCCACCAGGTTTATACCCCCCCCCTTCGCACAGCCCCTAGCCCCCTCCTGTCGACACCCCAAGCCGCACCCCAGAAAACACCAGGCAACAGGAAACCTCCAGAGAGCAACCTAGGGTTTAGGGTCCTGGGCATGCAGAGCCTCCCAATAGGTACAACATCCTGGCTTTCCTAGTTCCGACTCCAACAGCAAAACTACTCAGGCCAAAGAGAGGTTAGGTAGAAGGAAAATAGAGGCAGGGTTAGGGTTTAGCATGATGAGACACGTCACAGATGTTTCAGTTCTTCAGGTTCTTCAGTGCAACCTAGGGGTAGGTTTGTCCTTTTTGTCCATCTATTCCTTGTTTAGAATTATGCATATGGGGACGCTGGACCCGATTTCCAGCCAAGCCAAAGCTGGGTAAAGGCCCCTGTTACATGCTGCACCTGCACACGAGGGCCATTTTCCAGGCCCTGAGTCCCTCAGACTGAAAGCCTGAAATTCAGGCTGCAAGACTGAAAACCAGGGCCTACAGGCCCCGTGTCCATTCAGCTCGAAAGCCTGAAAAACAGGGGCCTACAGACCCTGTGTCGTTTCAGACTAAAAATGGCAGGAGCCTTTTTAGCCCGCAACGAAGGGCCATTTTCGGTCTGTTATCAGACCGACCTGCCCTGAAACTCGGGCACCAAACCAGGGTTTTAGGAACAGGCTATTTTTGGCCTGTTCCCACGACAGCTGCAGTGCCAGGCCCTGGCTCAGTTCAGCATTGGCAAGAGCAGCCTCCTGGACTTCCCACCCTGCAACTGCAGGCAGTCGGAGGCAGTCAGGAGGCAGGCCGAGGTAATACATAGGGACTTCCCATGCAGTTCACGGGTAGTGTTACATGCTGAGAGCCTCCACACGGGCCCCTCACGGGACCCGAGGTTGGATAAGGGCCCCCAGGTCGCGTCACCGCAACCTGGAGGCCCTACGGCCATTTTACTTAGGCCTGCATCGGAAACACTTCAACTTTAAGTTGATTTACGGCCATTTTACTTAGGCCTGCATCGGAAAGACTTCAACTTTAAGTTGATTTCTTATTTATTTATTTACTGATGTGTTTTTACTAATGTGCTG